GCAGGAGGTCATTGCCCGGCTCCCTTTGCGTTTTACTCGTTATTTACCAGCTTTTTACTCAGTCCCGCGCCACCTTCAGCGTTTACAGGCCGGGCGGGTATTTCCTTTCCCCTTCATGTTGTGGAGCGGGGAAGCTCTTGCTTCTCAGGCTGGGAGGAGGTGTGATGCCAATTTGCACCCCATAACAAGCAACCGAGCAAAGGTCAGCTGTGGGATCTCCCTTGGAAGGGCAAAGCCCCTCAGCTGTTTACAGTCGGTTTTTGGTAGCTCTGGAAGGTTCTGGCTGATTAGGTCTTCTTCAGGCTCTAAACACACCGAAAACAGATTCCTGGCTTCTCCGTCCTCCACTTCAGAGGTGGCTTCTCAGCCTAAGGACTCCTTCGATTGCCGTGTTGAAATGGCAGTGTTAATACTGCTTTAAAATTATGTGTATCTGCACAAAATGCCTGGAAAAGCGGCTCCTTGAGCATAGTTAATTGAGCTAAGAATGCTAAAATTTGTTAATCTTGCCACTGTGTTTTCTTCCAGGCCAGGTTTCACATGAGCCCTAAGCAGAATCTGGAGTATGGCTGGCTGGCCTACATGTTGGGAGACAGAACTATTAAAAAGTTGGGCAAAAACAGCAAAGTTTTTACAGTGGAGGGCAACTTATCTTCTGGGAAGGGCAAACTTGCACAACAAATAGCAGAAAAATTAGGTATGTCTTATTTTCGTGTATGTATTCATTAATTAGGTAATTATTTCTGTCATGTTTTATAGAATTTAATAGTGTAATTGTCATTTTTTTTTTTGTAAGGAAAGTTAGTTCACCAAACCAGTAGTTCTGGACTAGCAAAGTATTACTTCAGCAATGACACTGTTAATGTAGAGGGCTTATAGATAAGGGGAGACTGAAATGTTGGTGAGGCTTGAAATTTTATTTCTTATGAACTGTTTTCTCACCGAGCTCCCAAATCTGTTAAAGTCACCGAGTACCTGAGATGCTTTTAGATAGTTTGCTGTATTAATGTTCTCATGTGATGAAGTTTCATCTGCCTCGTGACTTGATTGACTGAAGAAGGACTGTATGTACCATTTCCAAGGGTTGTTTAGATTAGAGCTATTTATTTAAATAAGCCAAGTAAGGAATATTTATTAAGTTTCATCTGCCTCGTGACTTGATTGAAGAAGGACTGTATGTACTGTTTTCAAGGATTGTTTAGATTAGAGCTATTTATTTAAGTAAGCCGAGTAAGGAATATTTATTCTAAACAAGCAAAACTTGTTACGTTAACGTGTGTTCTGCTTTTTTTCTGTTCAGGAATGAAATATTTCCCAGAAGCAGATATCCATTACCTAAACAGAATCACAGGAGATGGCACGCTGCTGGATGAGAAGTTCAATGGCTTTTGTAACCTCGAGAGGTTTTACAACGATCCCAAATGTCCCGACGGGCACTCTTACCGACTGCAGGCTTGGCTGTATGGTAACCGTGTCTTGCAGTACGCCGATGCGCTGGAGCATTTGCTGAGCACAGGTTAGATTTCACTGTAAATAACTTTAACTTCTAAATTAACTTGTAAGTATGAGTTCTCTCTTTGAATGCATAAACTGGTCTGAAGTGGATATCGTCTTGTACTGTTGTGTAAAGCAAAGCAAAATAAATGCGATATAACGAGTTTCTACTTTACTGAAAGATAAAAATGAATGTATTGATTGAGCCTCAGTTTCCTTAAGGTATCAGCTATACAGCCTTTTTAAACACTCTCTAGGCTTTGTTCCTGACAGCAGCTTTTTTAAATTCAGCACTGTTCCGTGAGGGTATTCCTATAATTTTTTTTTTCCTCACATGATTAAGGTGAGAGAAGTTTTTATACATCAGGATGAATTTCTCTGTTGTTTGTGCTTTAATCACTCTCTTTTCCTCAAAAAAAAAAAAGGCGTTTCAAATAAAAATGTAAATGCAATGCTTATTAAATGTAGTAGTAATTAATATAAGGATAGGCACAGTAAGTGAATGTATGGATTAGCCAGGCATGTTCTGCCTAAAAATCACTACATTTGTGCAAATGGAAAGCACTTATCCTTTTGTCTTATTTAAATTAACCGTAATAGTAGCACTATCTTTGATCTTTGGTGTTGTCACAAACAATCTTTTTGAGCCTTTCTTGACTGGAACTTTCTTTCAATTACAGGACAAGGGGTGGTGCTGGAGCGCTCTCCCTATAGTGATTTTGTGTTTTTGGACGCGATGTTTAAGGAAGGCTACATCCACAAACGATGTGAGTTACCTGCAAACAAGAGTTAACTTTGCCATAACGCTTCCACTGAGTCAGGGTGTGTTATTAACTGTCAAGCTATTAATCACAGAATGCTTTAAGTTACTGATATGATAAAAGAATCCAGTGGCAGATTCCCCACCCTGTGACTCTTTTGCCACTCTAACCTTCACTGTCTTTTACAAGAAGCTGTCTGCACAGGATGGGGGAAACTTAGGTTTTTCCAAACTTAAGTCAGAAATAAGTTTCCATTTGGTACCGATAGTTTGTTAAATATTCTTGCATTTCAGTGCTTATAGATTCTCATTTTAATTATATTGCTTTTTACTTCTTATTTCTGTAAGATGGTTCAGCCTGAAGTGCTCCTTGAGGAAAAGCCTACCCTACACTTAATATATCAGCAAAGAAGAGGAGACTACAAATACTTTGGTGGGGAAGTGATTTATTCAGGGGTAGAATATGCTCAGCAAATGCAGGAAGAACCCTCAAGAAGTGGTTGCAAATTGATTACCTAATATTTCATAATTTTAATGGGATTGTCCTTGCTCTTATTCTTTTTTTTTAATATATGTATGTGTTCAGCTGTGTGGCTCTTAGGTCAGTAGCATCTTTGTTTATTTTTTAATCCAGGTCTTGATCACTACAAGCAGATCAAAGAAATAAGCATCTGTGAATTTCTGCCGCCTCACTTGGTCATTTATATAGATGTGCCTGCTTCAGAGGTACAGAAAAAGATTCAAGAGAAAGGAGAGGTAATTTTCTCTCTTACCACTGTTACTGTCCACTAACATCTGTCATAACCCGTCCCTTATGCATGAATTCTATAGGATTTGCTGCAGAATTCTGCTTCTGAAAAGCTTTAGTTCTCTTCAGGCATTAGAACTGTGTGTCATTGATGACTGTGTGATTATTCTGGTATGTTAGTTCTTTAAAAAAAAAAAAAAAATTGACCCTTTGACCACTTCAACCTCCTTTCACTTCTGCCATGAGAAACTGTAAAACTCGAGCACTCTTTAAGAATCAGCCTCTACTGTGACTACTGTCATGCCAGGAGTCACATCTACACAACATGCTGCTTTCAACATGCTCTGCATTTCTTGCTGCTTCCTGAGTGCCATCAGCCACAGCTGGCTGCCTCCTTTTCCAGATTTCCTGGCTGATTGCTTTTTTCAGAGCTGTTGAACAGTTGACATTAATGTGTGGGTCACTGAAAGAATGTATGGCCAGCAAGTTCAGTCAGTTTTGTGAAATTAAAAATTTTACTGTGTGGAGATTTCATGTTAACTCGGTAAAACTGTCATTTTTTTAACTGAAAGCTTTTTTTTATAGGTCTTCCATCAGATATAAAATCCAGGGAACTTTCAACTAATGTGGTGTAAAGTTAATAAGAACTACAGAGTGCTGGTTTGTCACTTGTACAAATTCAGTCTTATGTAAGGTCAAAGTATGTGAATCTGCTTATTGTTAATTTTTCACAATTGCAGGACATTGTGACTTTTTATTTCAAAATTCTGAGACTCGCATAATTTCTGCAGGTGTCTAGGCTTAATCAGTCTTTGGAAAACAATTTTTCTGAGAGCTGTTTTTGAAAAGGGCTTTTAATTTACACAGGCTCATGAAGAATGAGGTGATTGCCTTAACACACTGAAGCAAATAGGAAGAAAAGATTTCTTTTTTGCTTTGGTATTCTTCTGTTGAAACTGCTTTTTCCCTTTCTAGTTTCATTAGGCTATCACTAAAATCTTATTAATATGGCTAATTATTAAAGACCTTCAAATATTAGGTGTGAGATAAAACTGATTTCAGGAGGGTGTCAGTCATTCCTTGGGTTTCTCTAGCTATCTCGTGCCACAAATTCTGAACACTCTTAATTCTTTACACCTTCATTAATACATGTGTGGTTTAGTGGATGTGTGACTGCTAATGATTGAGCTCTTGACAGCTGGTATAGCTGCAGCTTCTACTTAAACTCTGAAATCTGCATTGATCAAGAAGAAGGAAAACAAACTTTACAACATGTTTTGGTAACATCTTTGTTTACAACTTCTTTTCTTTGCCTATTTTTAGACATACGAAAAAAAGGTGTCTACTGCTTATCTCCAGCACATTGAAGATTCATACAAGAAAACTTTCCTACCAGAGATCAGGTTAGCAAACTAAATTGTCATCCAGTGAGTAAACATAATTTGAATAAAAATGTGTGCAGATCCTAAAATCTCTGCAGATAGAAGCAAATGAAGCAATGTCATACATAATTACAATATTGGAAGAATAAAAATGAAGGTTTTGTAGGTGTGACCTTTTTTTGACTCTACTGAGATTTGAAGCAGTAGAAGAGTTGTAGAAAAGTAAATTCATTAGACCTCATTAACTGACTCATCCAAGATATTGCAAAGCTAATGAGCCATGACCTGCAGTACATCTCTTCATCCTGCTTATCTCGGGCATTACAAATTCATTGTCACAGACTCGGATACAGGATGGCATAAATTCCTTTGTAGTTAAAAGCACAGGCACTTTAGCAGCAAAGCCAGGAATCAGGTCTGTTGCTGTTTACAGCTGTCCTCTTTGCAGAAGCAAGTCCTATTTTGGTTTCTCTTTTGTGCACATTATGTTTGTGGTGGTTGGCATTAGCCTCTTCGCTGCTTTTTGAGCAGGAGTGCAGGGAGTGCTTTCTTGGAACTGTGGTAGAATGCCACAGCTATAGCTATGTGTCTGCATTCACTTGCCCTGAAGAGTGTGTGATGCAGTGTAAGGTTTTTAAAGTTTTGTATGTGTGTGTTCTAATAATCTCAGCACTAGCAGTCTTTTCTATTAAAACTTTCTTTCACTTATCAAAGCTTTTGTTAGCCTCTTGATGTGGAAGGAGAGAAGAAATATAAGAAATTTCATTATATAATAAGATACTTGAGATAACAGCTTTTTGTTCCCTTTTCTAGTTCTAGATGTTAAGGCTCTTTTCTAGGCTCTCTTGGCATCCTCTAGTTAAGAAGCAAGAATGGAGGAACTAAGCTTGAGACGTGGAGATTATTTTAGGTAGTCAGCTATTCCAATTCTTATCTCTGTCAAAAAATCAAATTGTCTTAAAATCTAAAAGCACATGCACATAAGTTGTCTGGGTCTCTCAAACAGGTGACTCTGGATGGGCAACACAAAAGATCACAGACCCAGGCCTGCTTTACATTTAAGCATGCAAAGTTTAGTTTGTGTGTGAAGTTAACTGCAGCCTGCTCATATGCACTTGTTCTCTTGCTCCAGCTCCCCAAGTAAATCAATGTAACTGTCAGCAGCTGAACTGGCTAAATGGGTATTGGAGCTGTCAGTCACACAGAGCAGGAGTTGTTGGTGTGGCCTGGCCAGCTGCCTCTGAGTGTGTCCCCCACAGATGCCAACACAGGTGTCAGGCAGATGGGAGCTGTGACCTCAGAGGGAGGGTGGGAAACCTTAGGACTATGATCCCCCTGAGGGCAGAACAGTGTTGAATTCACCAGAGGAGAGAAATGCTGCTTTTTCTTGGGGTCACACCCAAAGCCCTGGAAATACTGTGTTGTGTAGTGAGGCTAAATCCTAGCATGGCTGGTCCTGCTGTGATTTCAACTCTTTCTCCTTTGGCAGTCCCTGGTCAGTGCGCTTGTTAGGCACACACCTCCTGGTCGGCATCCTTGTCGGTCTAAGGGTTTGAAGTAGCTTGTCAGATTCAATCTCTGCACTCAAGTCTGAAGGACTCCTCTGTCCCCTGAATAGGGAAGAGTTTGAAACATGCAAAGCTCCTGCTTTGCACATCTGTGGTCCTGGCTGGTAGCTTGCATACTGGAGAAATAAACAGAAGCCACAGTTGCCTTTAACTGTTGGTCTGCTGTTTTGCAGTAAACTGTTTCATGCCTTGTTAATTTCTGGATGGACAAGGAAGTATTTGATTCCTTAGTTCTTTGGGGCAACCAAAATTAGGTCCAGAAAGGCAAACAGAACTTAATTTAGATTTTTGGGCAAATTTCAGGCCTGGACACTTTTCATGTTAAGCTTATTCTATCTTGCTTTTCTTGAAAATGTCTTGAAGCTCAGTAGGAAAATCA